TATCGGTCGGAAAACGAAGGGAGGGGATGAGGTGGCCAGACGGTCGAGCCAGCCGGCCAGACCGCCAGTCGCTCTTGAGCGCCCGAACCGGACGGACGTCTCCGCGCGTAGTGTCGCCGCGCATTTTGCAACGAAGTTGCGTTTATTTTATTAGAGGACTCCGCGGACGCGCGTAACACGTCTACTGACACCCAAAACGGGTATATTTATTTAAAAATTAACGAAGTTATCGATTTATTTGAAAAAATTCACTTTTTGCGATCGGATAGTTGCGTCGCGATTTTTCGCGTTCCGAGTTCGCGTAACCTCTGTAAACCAACAAATATCGTTAAAATACATTATATTAATTAATAATAAAGCGAGTGAGTGAATAATTATTTGCGGAAATCCCAGCCAAAGTCTCCACAGGGCGAGAGAGAGGATCCAAGGCACCACGAGGCCGGGACATCGCTACTGACTGAGGGACGGCTTTCCTTCTCCGTGGGAGGTTAAATGGAGTGGCGACCTTAAATAATCTCAACAAGTAGTAAGCTAAAGGCATTAATTAACGTTTCTCACATCTTGGTCGGTCACAACGGCACCCCAAAACTCTATTGTAGATCCGGGTAAGTCCGTAAGAATTTGACCAATTAGTCCGGATCTACAATAGGTGTTTTAAGACTTAAGCCGTAAGAAATTGACCAATTACAGTCGAATCCGAGGGGAATAATCGACTGTGATTCGCCCATTTCTTATGGCTTAAGGCTTAAAACCCTATTGTAGATTCGGGGTTAGTCCGGATCTACAATAGGTGTTTTAAGTCATAAGCAGTAAGAATTTGACCAATTAACAGTCAAATTCGAGGAGAATAATCGACTATGATTCGTTGATTTCTTATGGCTTAAGGCTTAGAACTTTATTGTAGATCCGGGGTTACAATCGAATTCGAGGAGAATAAGCGACTATGATTCATCGATTTCTTGTGGCTTAAGGCTTAGAACTCTATTGGAGATCCGAGATAATTGGTCAATTTCTTACGACTTAAGGGTTAAAACACCTATTATAGATCCGGGGTTAATCGGGTATACGAGGGTCGTTTTGAGCCTAACATAGAAACAAGTAATTTTTCGGTCAAATTCAATTTTATTTTTCCACATAGTCTCCTTTTAAGTCGATACATTTTTTCCAGCGATGCTCCCACCCCTTTAATCCATTCAAATAATACTGAGCATCTTGCTTTATAAAATAGGTGTCTACGGATGCGATGACCTTGTTCGATGAAAATTTCTGTCCTCCGAGCCAAACTTTGAGCCTAGGAAACAGAAAAAAGTCGCTGGGGGCCAGATCTGGTGAATACGGTGGATGGTCAATTAATTCGAACCGCAATTCGTGAATTTTTATCATGGCGACTGCTGATATTCGATTTTTTCCATTTTTACAAAAACAATGGCTGCGTTCAGCAGAACGGTTGTTTTGCAACTGTTGGAAGTTTCCTTAGCGCTAATTGGATCATACTTTTAGATCTAGAAGAATGGTCCTATCTCAGCAGACAATCATAAAACGGTTGCAAAACTGTTGAGTCTGCTGAACGCAGCTATTGACTGGCACAAATGACTGTCAAACAACAACTAAGCGCCGGAAGTAGCTACAATTTTCGCAGGTATCTTTCAAAGTATGTACGATTATAGTACCAAAATTGTTTTGACGAGTAATGCCATCTTCATGTTGAGGCTCAAAACTTTTCAGACGACCTATGTATATTTAAGACGGTCTTAAGTACAGCCTTAAGATGTCATGCGAGAACTCAGGCTGTGTTCCAAAATTCACTGAGAGCACTAAAAATCTACAATTTACGTTACATATACTATACATTTTCAGCACTGACAGTGTATTTTGGAACACAGTCTCAATAAGCGGTTAGTCAGCGGTCGTAGTAAGAGTGGAAAATTACTTATACTAATAGTAGATAGATAAATCATTTATTGATATATAATTTTGATATATAAAGCTGGTTCTACATTAGTCGCATCGCAGCGTCGCAAGCGTTGCGGTCCAATCAACATCAAGCTAGCTCACTCTGATTAGACTGCAACGTTTGCGACACGCTTGCGACGCTGCGATGCGATCAATGTAGAACCAACTTTGAGTGCGTTCTGAATTACGCATGAAGCGCATGATGCATCGTTTGTCTTTGTTGTTTACCAATTACTAAAGAAGGATAAACGATACATCGTATCTCGGAACGCACCCATAGTCGTTGAGAATACAGAGAATTAAGGTGCAGCCACAACAGAAAGAATAAGGAATAAAGATTTCAATCTATCAGAAATCGGATTCACCGGAATATGCGGTTTCTGATAGGTTGAAATCGTTATTCCCTGTTCCTAATTATTTATTCCTTCTATTGTGGCTGCACCATTATACGTTTGTTCGCGTCACATGCTCCAACATGTTCCAATATGCTCCTACCATAGCTCTTAAGGTGCATTCACATGCAAGCGTCAAGCATCAAGCAGTGGAAGTAGCAACTAATCAACGAGGCGATTTTTATAGTGGCGTAAAAAATATTTTTTACACTACTGTCCGTATCGCTCAGCTGATTGGTTGCTGCTTCCATTGCTTGATGCTTGCATGTGAATGCACCTTTATTCACTCCAACGTGCTTGATAGTAGGAGCTATGATAGGAGCATGTTGGAGTTTGCGACGCGAACAAACCTTATATATTAGTTCATAGCCGCAACAATCTTGATAGATGTTATGGGCTGCGGTCCACTTGACGCTACAAACGCTTCGAAGCATTGGGTGCGTTCAGCAGAACGTTTGTTTTGCAACTGTTGTAAGTTTCCTTCGCGCTAATTGGATCATACTTTTAGATCTAGAAGAATGGTCCTATCTCAGCAGACAATCATAAAACGGTTGCAAAACTGTTGAGTCTGCTGAACGCAGCCATTCTTTGATTAGTCAATTCGTAAAATTCTTTGTTCTGATTGGTCGCTCAAACAATCTTGATAGACGTCATGGGCTGCGGTCCACTTGACGCTACAATCACTTTGAAGCGTTTGTAGCGTCAAGTAGACCGCAGCCATATTTACAAGTTTAAATACTAGGTGCATTCAGAACGATTTACAGCGTTTTCGATTGGGAAAAAGTGAGTGCGCACTCAGTTCACATCAACACTGGACGAGTTCCATGAGTTGCACTGAATAGTGCAAGTTCAAAATAACACGCTAAGGCCGGAATCAGACAACGCATTGAATATTGAGATTGAAGATTGAAAGATTGAAATTTGACCAACCAAAACAATAGGAGCTAAAATTCCTTTGTCCTCACTGGTCAAATTTTAATCTTCAATCTTCAACCTCAATCTTCAATGTGTAGTCTGATTCCGGCCTAAGATTTTCAATGCTAAAGCTGAAGTGCCATTTTGAGTTGTAAGATTGTAAGGACTTGACTAGACTGCAGGAAGAACGCAGAAAAATAACCTCGACATCTCATGTTCATAACTTTAAGTAATGATTTTTTTATTATATGTAATTAAATAATATATAAGATATCCAGAATATCATATATATATATTATTTATATATATATGTACATACTTATCAATAATTGTACACATTTGCATGCTATAAATTACAGATTTGTTTGTCCCTACTGTATATCCTTTTAT